TATCTTTAAACCCGCGCACACCGATACGAGTGAGTCCGCGTGTTGTTTGCGCCACTTTTCTGCGACGCAAACAAGAACCAGGCACCGAATTAGACCCGCGACGTTGCATCTAATCAACCAATCTGCGCGACTTTGCTGCGCCAACGAGAAAAAAGATAAACCGAGTGGAAAAATCATCGTGTCTGGTCTTGTCTCGCGACCGCATTACGCCGACTCGAGTGGCATCGACACGAGAGGCCCTCAGATTAGGCCGGCACCGAAAGACTCGGTACCTGGAAGAAGTGCCGATTAGCTCGTCGTAAATACGCCACAACACAGGAAAAAGAACGAGCCCATTTTCCGATTAGATAACGCCCCCCACGATAAGGCAAATCGCTAAACCTCTCAGCAAAAAAAGAAATCGGTCGCGCTAGCTCGGCCGAACGTTGACGTCAAAACGTAAAACACAAAAGAGAGTGAGCCGCGGAAGCATGGATTCGGCCGTAGCGCATCGTATCGAGACAGGATTGTGATTGTGATTTGGTAGAAGAGCAAAAAAAAGAAAAAAGGAGAGGGTCTGGATGCGTGTGATTGGTTTCCTCTCAATTCGATGCTCTACAAAATGTTCTATGAGGGGGAGGGGGAGAGGAGGTCTCAGCAAAATGAAAGATTTCGGGGGGGGGGGGGGGGAAGCTTCATGCCCCCCCCCCCCCCCCCCCCCCCCCCCCGGCTAAGTGCCTGTATTGACCAAACAACGCAGTCTGAGTTGTGACATTAAGCAATGCAAAACGTCACGCTTGGATTGAATAGTGTCATCAGACTGCGTTTTTTGGTCTAAACATATGTTTGGGCATCGTCATTCGCTGAGCTGCCTCCATAAGTTGCGGTGATTGGCTCTCCGAGTGTTGTACGGGAAAGTAGACGCACGGTTTTTTTTTTAGAATGTGTACTGTCGCATCCATGTAAACGCAGCCAACCTGAAACCGAGTACGTGCGCGACAAAAAAACATGGAAACCATGTCTCCGCGACATCTTGTCAACACCTCTGGAACAATGGACCGCGAATGGCAGCGATCCATTCGGGCTTCCTGCGAAGCACGGACTTGCGACAAGAGGTTCGCCGTTTATCTGATAAGGGATCCATGTTCTTTACTGACGTCCGAAGCTCGTACCCGGCTGAAGCTGATTACGAAGAAACTGTGACGCCGCCGACGTGTCGATGATATTATCCGGGCGTAGCCGGGTTCCCCCCCCTCCCCTCCCCCCCCCCCCCCCCCCCCCCCCCCCCCTCCCCTGATGTTAGGAGGGATGGAAGTGGAACGGTTCGGATGTGTGGATGTGTATACAGTATATGCTCGGAGGACGTTTTGTAATCTCCGTAGGAAGTGACAACTACCGCGACGACACACAAGCAGGCTCGCTGCAGTGTATTGACTATAGCGACGTATCGTAGACTGCTATACAGCGCGCCACGGATCTACGGTACGCCCAGTGCGACGGGAGGAAGTTCAGTCGCGCGAGATTGCGCAGTGATTCGCGACGAGTTCGCGCGCAGCCCGGCATCGGAGCGGCGGAGCCTATAAAGTGTCGCGACACTCGTCGGCACGCGGTGCTCGTGCGCGTGTCGACTCGCCGAACGGACGAGGCTCTCGAAGGACCGCCCTTGGGAGGCCGAAAAAGAAGCGCGCGATGGCCAAGACTTTGCTGCAGACTCCAAGTTCGCCCTGGGTGCTCTCCGAAAGGTCAGGCTCTGGCATATCTATACCTCGTAAAGCCGCGCTGTCGTGCCGCTAGGGCGTATCGGAACGGCGTTCCAAGGAACGAGGTTCCCGGAACGCGTTCCTTCGAGGAGGAACGAATTGGAACGCCGCCGTTCCATCTTGCATCGGCTGAACTCGAACGGGAAATGTTACGTTTTCGAGGGAACGGCAGGTGTCGATTTATGTGCCATTTCACCCAAATGTAGTAGGCACTTAGTATTTTTTTTATCGACTATTTCGTCCCCCGACTTGGAGGGATGGGGAAGTGTCCGGGAGTTAGTCAAAAGCGAAGAACTGGAAAAAAAAATGCTATCGTGGTGATTACTCAGCACGTAGTTCCATGTGGATCTTTTCCGCTCGCTCGCTTTGTTTTATCTATGGACTATCCGGCGCAATATTTAATTACTCCAAGCGAATGTAACGCTAATGTAAGGACGCGTTTCAATATCAGAAAATGGTCACCAGAACGCATTCCTTTCGAACCGCGGGAACTTGTGACGGGAACTGGTTCAAAGATTGAAATAGGATCGAGCTTTCGTTTGTGTTTTGGAGGGAGCTCTACAACACTGCCGATACATGATACAAAAGGCAGCCTGCACACACCGGCGTTCCTTTTATGACGGTCATACAAAAGCGTTCTGCAGACATGATCGCAGCATGTATGAAGCCAACATGATTCTAAGATGCTTTATCAGGCGTCGTGTCCGAAGGTAATTCTGTCGTCATGTCTGCAGGCGAACACTGTGTTCTTTTGTAAGATCATCATTATCATCATAATCAGCATGTCTCTTTGTGCATGTATATATAGATGTATGTATAGATCTATAGGACTCCCGCTTAAAGCCGGGGTCACACTGCTTAGTCACCGCAGTATCCGTGGTTCGAATGCCGCGTGCCCAAGTTCCATCCTTACCGCGCGGCATTCGAAGCGCGGAAGACAGTCTGCACACACATTCGAACGCGAGTCACAACGAGATCCGAGCTTAAAATGCCGCGCGGCAAGGATGGAACTTGAGCAGGCGGCATTCGAACCACGGATACTGCGGTGACTAGTGTTTGCCGACTGTGTTTTGTACGGTGTATGCGACCCCTGCTTTAGACGTTTCAGTGCCCTGGCGCATGTCTGTTATTTTAATTATTTATAAGCTCTCGTCAATCGCAATGTTTGATTACAATAGGACTTCGCACCATGCTGGTTTTCATGCTTGCTTGCCAAGAAAAAAACAAACTCGATGGTGCGAAACGCGTGCTAAAGAAACGCGCTCGGCAGCACGAAACTGCAAAATTTTATTTCGCACGGAGTACGAACTATATTATATTTAGTATTCCTACAACGAATACGAAGCAAAAAAAAAAAATAATCCGGTTTCAAAGTAGTTTGTTTTAGTAGTATGTGCTGCACGGCAACTTCGTCTTATAGACAAATGAAAAAAGTAAAAACGAGAAATAAAAGTAACCGCATGGTTGGGAAGTTTATGCAATCCGTAAGCTCTTATTTTTGTCCGCGACTGAGTCTAGCTGCTTCACTCGAATGTACACACCTCGTGAATACGCTTTTGCGTGTCGGAACGGCGAGCGAGATGAGTAACGTGCATAGGAGTTTTCACTTCCATTTTGTCAAGCTTTCAGTCTGTTCAAAGCGCGTAACACGCTCTCGCGTCGCTGTAGTTTAAACAACTATTTAAAAGGCACAAAAAAAAAAAAAAAAAACTGAACAGATTACAGATTATTATAATTCCATTGCGAAGATTACCGGAAGCAGCCTCGACCGAGCGTCATAGTGTCTCCGCTGAAGATAAGAAATTTTGCCAGTGCCATATAGACTTCTAGCCTGCGGTCTTTAACGTGCATTGCGCAGTAGTGATACACGACCGCATTCCGGTATACGACGCTTATTCAGATCGAAACGTGCTGGTGTGGGATTTAAACCCAGGATTTCCTAGGCTCTGCAGTATACGAGCCTTCGCTCCACGTGCTCCCGCATTAGGCCACTGATCCCTATCTTTATCATGAAAGAATGCGTTGAAAATTCAGATTACAAGGTTACAAGGCGAAAGGATTATTATACACGCAGTGATATAAACGACCGGAAAATTTTGAGTCATTCTTAACCGCAGTCCTAAAGTACATTTTCATTCACGACACGACAATACGGAGACAAACAACGTCTCTAAGCCCGCAAGGAATATCTGCAAATCGGCAACCGATCCTCCCCGCACAGATCATGCAGCTTATGTGTTGTAGTGCGTATCACAAAGTACGAAAGTCTACTATTTTGGTTTACACAAACACCTTTGTATGGATATGGTCTCTGGCTGTTGGTGTAGGTGATAATTGTTGGTATGTTAGTACGCGTAAGTTCCTGTTTCAAAGAATTGTGGGATGCTACAGTGTCTCGAAACTCATTACACACCTCTCTTATTACAGTAATATAACGGTACAAGGATTAATCCCGAGAAAAAAGAACCGTGTTCTTTGAACCGGGTAAAGAAAGTATGCATAGCGGAACGCGCAAATTCTGCAAGAATGAGACACTAGCGGTTAGGATAGAACGTGAATGTTTGAGAAACGCTACCTGGATCAAGACGTAATTGAGAAAGACGAGATTTCTCTATGAGGCGACGTCCGCCTAGGCCTAATATCGTCAGAACAAGAACTACCATTGTGGATACATCTGGGATTTATATCAGTGAAAAACACTTGACCGCAAGAAAGGGATACCGTTATCTTTTATGCTGACAAGTGTTTTCCCTTAAATAGATGCTGCAGGCGCCAATCTCATTTCTTGTTTTGACCATATAAGGCATAGAAAAACATCGGCTCATAATTTGTTTTTGTCCGGGTAATTTGATGGTTTCAAACTTCCCCGTTTTATCCCAAACGCTAGCGTCAGATTCTTACGAAGATTGAACTTTCTGCGATGCCTTGTTAATGTCCCGGGGCCGAAAAGCACGGTTCTATTTTCTCGGGAACGCCCTGTATATTACAAACTTTGGGCATACCGGCACACATGGTTGCATTGTCGAAATACACTCTGAAGAAAGTTAGCTGGTCCGCTTTTCTGCAACACACGGCTGCAACCCGTCACGGCGAACAATCGGAGGGTTGCAGAGAATAACGACGCTCAGAATCGACCTGAACGATCCGATGTGCGCAGGTACTTTGAGCGAATGAAACGTCAGGCTCGTTTCGCCCATCGCCAGTTTCAGATTTAACTGTATTCTGAGCTGCGTCATTCGCTGAAATCCTCCGATTGTTCCCGGTGATGGTCTGCCTCTGTGTACTGTAGGAAAGTGAGCTCAAAAACGTTTTGTTTCGAATGCAGAAGGCGAATTTAGGATCTAACGCCGCTTTTAAAAGTATAGCCATATACAGGAATGCGTATAGGACAAATAGTACCCTTATGCTTCTTCTCTCTTTCGAAGGGGGATGGGTGACCGATTGTTTTAGTACACCGCAGCTCGGGGCACGTGGAGCGAAAGATCGCACCATATAAAAGCCAGGGTTCCTGGGTTCAATCCTCACTATACTCTGTTTCATACTTAGTGTGCAACGCTGTCAAAGCTACTGGCGCGAGCATGGGGCTTGATTTCGTTGATCGTTTGCACGCGTTCTCGCGCAAACAAAACCATAGATGAAGCCACGCGCTCGCGCCAGTAGGGAGTAATCACTGGACGCCATATTTGAGGGTGATGTTTAGAGCGCATGCTCGGAACGAGCTCAAGTTAATAGGCTGCTAAGACCGGCAATCTTGGTGGTGCGGAATGCACGTGGCGAAAGAACTATGGAAGCACGCCGTCAGCACGCGCTCAGCAGTCGCGCACACAGCTATGGCCGCCAGTGAATACTCCCTATAGCTTTGACAGCGTTGCACACTAAGTTTGAAACAGAGTATACTGTCCGTTCCAATGTGCACGAGCATCACGCCGGCGTTTGTTCGTGTAATCACTACGGCTTGATACACGTTAAAAGGTATACTGCGCCGACTAAGTTGCTCCTCTACAGCGGAAGGGCCGGCTTGATAGAAACAGCGTCTCAGCTGAGACTGGGCGAAAGAAAGCACCACCAAAGCCAGCGTACGAGCGGAGCGGGACTCAAACCGCGACGCTCGCGCGCCCCAGCCTTCGTATACACTGTTTTCTTTCACCCAGTCTCGGCTGAAACTTTTTCGAGCAAGCCGGCCCAGACCCCCATTCGGGAGGACTTCACGCCGTCTAAAAGAACACACAACACAGTTATCTCTTCCTAAAACCGAACGCGACCCCCACCGAGAAAGTGCGGCGCCGGTCGCCAAAGGAAGGTCTCAGAGCAAAATCTGCATCGCCATGCAGGAAAAAACAAACAAACAAACGATTTAATTTAAAGCGTAGACTCGGCGGCGGGGCGCTATCTCTGAACGAGCCAGGATCTGCGAAGCCCTAAACGCGTTGGCGGGCGCGCATGCATAAAGGCGAGAGCGGAATGTGTCACGCGATAAGGGCGTATTAATAGCGAGTCCCTGACCTCTTCTGCCGCCCTCCGGCTGACAACCGATCAGACGAACGAGGACGGTCGGGTTAGCAGCTACCCTTCCTTCACGTTTCGGCGCCTTCTCTATTTCCTCTTCAAGTTCAACGCATCCGAGCGACTGCAGGAAGCGAATCTGCTCATTCCGTGTCTCGAGATACTGATGTATACGTTCGAATGTTATCAAAGCGAATTAGCCGTTGAGCCAACTAGCCGCTTATATCAATGATGCTTCGGCAAATATTACTTCTTGCGTGAGATTGTTTTGCAGATCACTGTGTCGTGTATATCTGTAGAGTATCGATAAACTAAAAGTGTGGAGGAGAGCTATGCGCTGCAACGCGACCTTGACAGAAGGTACATGCGATGCCATGAAATGAACATAGAAAAACTCTGTATGTATGTGGTTCACAATAAATAAAACGTGCCAATGGTGTTGACGCTATCAACAATAACCCCCCCCCCCCCCTCTTACA